ACTTGGAAAGCTGCTATACGTCACCGACTAGAAAGAGATAGTTTTGGGATGAACCTGATTATACTTTGCATTTGCGCTACACGAAAACACAACCATCAGGCTCGCTATATTATGCTGGGCACCGGGTTCGCGAGAATCAAAGACAACACCAACCGCGTGTACAAAGCGTCCCTACAAACGAGTCTTTGGGTGTTTTGGAAACATGAGCGAACATGACTTCAAGAACCCGAACGCTCCTTGATCGAACTTAGGACTTTTGTATAGTCCGTCTTGCCCTTATTCGTCTTGAGATTGTTTGGATTACGCTTGGCCTTGGCGTCAAGGTCTGGATTACCTGGGGCTGAATTGCTCACAGCCTTCCGGGCGTTGAGAATAGTGGCAGACGCAGAGGGTTGGGGCGCGGCGTTTGATCTGTCCTCGCGCAAGTAACTTTTGTTTTTCAGCGCTCTCTCAAGGTTGGAGACTCGACGTTCCAGTTCTTTGGCAGTCACAAGCTCGCCTCTTTCGTACGCCTCGACAAACTTAGCCTTGACCTCCGCAATTTCCTCCAGGACCTGCTCCTTCCGCTGGGAATCCGTCAAAGGGATTGCTGGAGCTGTGATATCTTTGATCATACCATATGTGACGTTCTCACCCCAATTCATGAGATCATAGATACGGTTTGGGCCGTCCTTGTATACTGCTTTGGGGTGGTCTGTACATTGCTGCGATCTTACGCAGAAAGCATTCATGCACCTGACACGATAGACTTCACCCTCGTACGGAAATTCGATCCACTCTAGGCAAAATCCAAACTTGCCATCCTTGAAAGCCGCACGGTTCTTAGTGCCCTCGCCGGGCACGTGGTGGGATGAGTCGAAGCATGCGCCTGTGGCACCATTCTTCACATCATTGTTCCAATCTCCACCTCTCCAAACTCTGACCGTCTTAGAATACAGGTCGTCAAGACTTTTGATGATAGAGTCATCCGGTTGTGTCTGCTCCGTGAAGGTGAGTCGAGGAGGGAGTGGCTTGACCTTCGTCTCATTTTTGGACTCCCCAGCGCCGTGCTTACTCTTCCAATCCTTGAATACGTGCATTTTGAATTACCTCCTAGTTTTAGACCGGTAATATTTGTTATTCGAAGGACTGAAAATTAAAAGGGCTTTACAGCGACTATGTGTTGAGGCCGAGGATACAAATGGGAAGGCGGTCCTCAAGACTGGGTGCTCAAAGAGGAGGAGACGGAGATATCCGGTAAGAGCGGGTATGTATCACAGGTTTAGGTGCTCTGTGTGTGCGTATGTTCTTGTCAGAGGGGCTACAGCTTTTGGTCGAGAGGTTGAAAATGCTGCGAAGGAGAGCTGGTTGTGGAGTAAACTGTGCGCGTATACTAATAGCAGAGAAAGGACCTTTTGATATACTGCGAGGGACCAAGGGTGAACGCAACAGTTGCAACTGGGTTGCCACAGTCAGCCTTGTTACGCTTGCCTGCGCTCTGGTGGTACACCATTCACCAAGCTAATGAAACACAGAAGACCTCGTACCGATTCTAGCAGAGTTCACGGTTGACTTTCACACATTATACAGCTGAGAGACTATTACATCCACAGATTCGGACAGCTTCGGGTCAACATCAGACACGTAGACATCCTCTTCTACGTTATCGGCAATTTAGAAGATCAAAGACATCATCTGCAATGGAGGTCTTGGTCCCTTACCTTGTTTCCTTCATTGTGAAACTACACGGTATGTGGTATGTGGCCGACACAGAACCGCGAGATGTCTTACATGGTCCAGAACCTAGAGGTGACCGCTTCAGGGATTGTAGAAGCGCTTGCTGTTCATTTCACTCACATGGTAGAAGTTTGTTGACAAACACTAAGGCTCGGGTAGTGGTCTTGGTTCAGTACGCCGATGCTTCCTGTGCACGGGCGTCTGTCATTTCCAGCGCGATTCACGCACTGGTCCCACAAAAGGCGCAGCAGTACTGACGTACATTCACTGTAGTTGCGACCCTTTCTTAATATACATTCTCCCCTTCGCGCCTTTGTCGCTACTGGCCCTTTGTCTAGAGTTGGCGACTCAACCTCCAAAACAACGACACTCACTCCTTGAGATACCAATACTTGACCACCGAACTCCTCTCTGTGCGCGCAGAACAGTCCAAGCCGAATCAGTATACCTTTATACCAATGTTCGATTTTAAAAACAAAAAGGGTGGGCGCGCGGCGACTACGACCTTGCCCTCCACCACCAATACGTCCGATGCTACTCTGCGTAGCCCATTAGAACGGGTGTTTAAAATCGGCAAAGCCATAAAGTACTCATTATCTACTACCCTGGGCCGCAAAACTTCTGAAGAGCCGTCCTTGACGAATCAGTCGAACTCTCCGATTCGTCTACCAAGCGACACGCCGACAGCCACGACGGGTTCTTCTCACACTTCAGAAGCCTGCAATACTGATCCAAACTCGCCATCGTCTTCAAAGTCAACGGCTGCAACCGAACATTCTCTCCCACGTCTTAGCTGCGGTGAGAACTTCTTCGTGCCAGGCATCTCTCTTTCTCCCGAACTGCGTTCGGATCCAGAGCGATCACCAATCCAGAAGCAAGACAGCCTGTCTGTGCACTCGCCGGTACTTATCGCCTGCGAGGTGCCAATAGATACCGTGATCCAAACCGAAGGCGAGATCTCTGCGAAGCCAAAGCAGCTTCCCGTGAAGAAAGAAAAGACACTTCGTTTGCCCGGCTGTCTGAAGGCTTTCTGGAAGAAGATCGCTTTCACGCAACATAGGGCCTCCCGACCCTCCAACTCCGATTCAAACAAGCCAAAACACAATGACGCCGCTATTGACTCGGGTACATTTCCTGGTGCTAACAAGGACAAGCATTGTCAAAGCGCGAACACCAATAAAGACGTTTCAGACGAAGGTGACGGCCCGCGTTGCGACTTCAAGACGATTGAGGCAATTCCCGATGCAAAGTACCGCGAACTGATCAAGGCCTGCGATCTTTCGTCTTCGCCCACCACTACTGTTGACGTAGTGCGCCGTGCGAAAGGCACTTTCAATGCAGCGACTTTCGTCACTGTTTGTGAAGGCGAGCAGACTCGCAAGTACGTTGTCCGCGTGCCTGGCCACGGTACGCGCGCACACTGGCAGGAGGAAGACTCCTACGTGCTGAAGAACGAAGCTCAGCTAATTGAGTACATTCGAAAGAATACAAACGCACCTGTCGCACAGGTCATTGACTATTCCACTGGGCACGACAACGCGCTTGGTTTCCCTTACATCTTGATGACAATGTTACCCGGCACGCCTGCGAACAATATCTGGTTTCCAGAAGATTATCCCTCCGTCGATAATGAGCTTTTCCAACATGCGGATGTCCCGCCTCCCCATATCGAAAAGAAGCGTCTCAAGTTCCTACGCTCTTTGGCACGGGTAATGATTGAGATTCAGACCCTTAAATTTGAGGCCATTGGAGCACCTAACTTCGACGACGACGGCAAACTCACCGGTATTGGACCCACGTGCCACTGTACATACGAAGATGGCGATGAGGTTTTCAAGCGTCCACCGGCTGCTACAACTGAGGAGTACATTCGAGCCCGCTTTGGAGCCAAGATAAGACAGATGAGTGCTGACAACATCGAACGCCTATGCAACGAAACATGGGAAGAAGACGATGGGCGTGAAGAACGTGGCGTCCGAGACATCCTCTACTTTATCTTCTATCACCAGTCGGTGTTCCGCGGGCAGCCTGGCGAGACCTTCACCCTCCATCACGATGATCTAGATCTGCAGAACATTCTTTGCGACGACGAGGGCAACGTCACAGGTATCATCGACTGGGACAACGCGATGGCAGCACCACGCTGCATCGGCGCCACAGCCGTCCCCATGTTTCTCCGAAGCGATTGGTTCCCAGAATACACATTTGGCCTCGATAAATCGCCGTACATGGCATGGAACCACGAACACTACCGCGAGATCTACGCCGCCGCCATAGCAGAAGCCAGCGATGCCGAAAACGCAGAGTTCACGCTCAAGTCGGGTCTCTACCAAGCCGCTGTCGCCGCAGTAACCCAAGGTGGGTACGCAGAGGGCCTCATAGACAAGTTACTCCGCGAGATACCTCATTGTCGTTTGAATTATTGGACGTTCATTAGGGGGCTGGGTCGGGGTGGCTGGGTATCTGCGGAGAACTTGCTCAAAACGCATTTTGCGCGCATCTTCGAGCCCGTGATGCCGCCTGATGGTCTTCTTGAGGCGCTGGATAAAGAGCTGGAGATGCAGACTACTTGGTGGTCGTGCTGTGATGAGCTCATCGACTTTTATGAGGCTGAAAAGGGGGTGGATGAGGATGAAGAGGAGGATGCAGAAGAACTCCCGCATAATACTGCCGTCGTCTCAGGTTGAAAGGAAACAGCGTCCACAACGCAAACAACACACTACGCCTCACTACCGGATACCGACGATGGCCATGTTTTTTGATTGAGCATTCAACTGCCTCAAACCTCATCGGCTGGTAAACGTCGCAAACGTTCAGCAAAGAAGACTGTCCTACCATCGCGTCGCCGTATGATACGACGCCTGGCTCACTCACACGTGCTGTTCCTCCACAGGTAGCACCTTGAAGTGAACCGCCGGCGTAACGTAACAGACGCTCAATAGTTGCATGCTCGACTATGATGTTACATACGCTTGGAAAGTTCAGGGTAGTCAACGCGTGAAGTTCATTTTTGATTCTGTTATCGATTATCAACAAAAATACATTAAAGTCAGTCATTTTCTAAAGTAATAGAAGATACGTATAGAATATATCAAAAAGCAAATAGAACATACATGATACCTGACCGCGCGATGAGATGTGACCAGATTCGTGTTTCGCTTTGGTAATTTATGAGAATTTGCATTAACTACTCAGAATGACCAGCCAGACATCGCATTACTGACGGTACAATCTTGGCCCTAATCCCAAACACCAAAGGCGCCTCGATCTACAGAATAGTGGCCTCATCGCCGGCGGTCCCGATCATCCCGGCGATAGCGATCCCGACTCCTCTCCCGACGGCTGTCACGATGGCGATTTGGGCTACGACTTCGCTCTCTCCTCTGATTGTACCTTCCATCATCGCCATCGCGGCGCTCGCGCTTGGGGCTCCGACTACGATTCCGCTTGAAGCGGTCGTCGTGGTATTCCGTCCTCCGTTCACGCCTCCGTGTGTCGTCTCGTCGATCATCTCTACCGGTATCCCTCGGCCGTGGCGCAGTATCTTTTGAAACGTCGCGATCGGCCACCAAGTTGTTGACAACAGAATCCGACATGATCTGGCGTCCAGAGCCATCGCGATACTGCTTCTTCTTCTCGAGGTTGTCGATACCACCGAAACCACCGGCAGCCCGTCTCCGCTTCTTGTTCGTAACGTCCCGCCAATCGTCGGCAATCTTGGAGACGGACTGGGAGAAGTCGACGTGTATGCGGTGATCGTCGATCAGAACACCATCCATCTTGAAATAGGCCTGCTCGCAGTCCTTCTGGTTGGTGTACTCGATAAAGGCGTACTGCAGGCTGTCACCTGTGCGCTTGTCCCTGATGACCTCGCAGCTGAGAATCTTGCCGAATCGCGAAAAGATAAGCTCCAGATCCTCGTCTTGCGTCACTGGGTTGAGCTTGCACACGAACAGCACGTTCTCAGGCGGTGCGACTTCGGCGAATGGCAGATCACCTACCATCTCGAGCGTGAGGGCTTGTGCGCGCGCCTCACGTTCTCTGCGGACCTTTTCCAGGGCTTCCGGGTCGTTGTCCTCCTCGAGGTTCTCATCGTATGCGACGCGGACGGTGGCGAGCTGCGCGGCGGAGGGTACAGGGCTCTCGGGTGGCTCCACGAGGCCGGCGGGGTCGTCGTATGGGTCGTCGAGGACGACTGTGTGTAGTATGCGGATGTCTTTCAGTGGCTGGCCCTGGTCATCGATATATGCCGTGTTTATCTTCTCCAGCGTGTCAAAACCCTCTACCACTGTTCCGAATATGGCCGCTTTGCCGTCCAGGTAGTCGATGTTCTGCCCCAGCGTTATGATGAACTGGCTGCCGGCGAACCGCTCGTCTGGATCTTCGGGGTTCGGCGCGGTCGCCATGCTGACGGTTCCCATCTCGGCATGCTTGAGCTTAGGCTTGAACTCGGGTACAAACGTCTTCTTCGCGGGCTGTGCGGGGTCGAGCAAGCCCCATATTGAGCGACCGCCGTCGCTGTCTTTGGACCCAGGGCCGATGGGGTCGCCAGTCTGGAAGGAGAAGTTTGGTTGGACGCTATGAACGGGGGCGAAGTTGTAGTACTTGACTTTGCACAGCTTGAGAAAGCTAAGGCGACAAATTGTCAGTGTCTGTTTATGCTCAGCTTGGGGCGACAGCGGGATGGAGCATGCAGCATGCAGGTGCGAAAACCCAAGGCGCGCGTAGGGATTGGATCGACTTACTTTTCACAGCATCTGGGCGCATCGTCGACCAACAGGTCGATGGTGATATCTCCGAGTGACGTTTCCAGCAGCACAGACATGGTTTGGGCTATGTTGTGCCGAGAACGAGTGTTTGTCGCAAAGGTTCGCCAACGCGCGCGACAGCATCCGAGACCGCGTAGCCCTGACGCTTAGTCATCATGACGTAACGCCCAATCTGGTCTAGCTCCAGGTACATGTCGCGTTTCTCCACCTTCACGTCTCGCAAGCTCCTGAGCCAATACTCCCTGGGCAACGTGCCCCAGCAGCCTTCACATCAGCCCGCGCTTCAGATGGTCGTTTGGTCCCGCCTGTCTACATGCAAGAGCAGCGTCCTGATGCATACACTACTGGCGTTGACAGATCGAACTTGGGATGCACCTGCGAGATGCAGGCTTCCACGCTTGTCAAGCCATTGTCCGGAAATAGTGCGAGTACCAAGAAAGAGCTCTGAGTACTTTTGAGAGGCGGACCGTTGAGTACTACCCGGCGTCTGACGGCAATCCCTGCACACAGATTCGGGCAGCCACTGCATTGCCTGCTGCATATCGATCCGAAATCCCCGGCCCCGTCCGTCAGGAGCATTGGACCAAAAGGCATCGTTTTGTATATTGGGCATATAATCCCACCACCGGCTGTCAAAATCCTGGAGCGGGCCTCTGCTTCTCGCTTCGACTTGCTACCAGCCGAAGCCTGACAGCCAGCCCAGACCAGAGCGACCAGTTCATCCTTTTTCGAGGACTACGGGATTATCTCGCTGGAAGTGGAGGAATCTCTGTTATCACTGCTATCTTCAAGATTACAGGAGCTCTTCTGCTCCAGGGAGGCGACACAGCATGCCTGACAATTACAGGTGTGGTGACACTGTCACTGCGAAGACGGAGCTTCAGCAATTCGCTCATGCGTACTCGCAACCTATCTTTCCAGAGACGCACAGCAACGATGGATCCACGAGCCTTGTAATCTGCCTGTCATCCCAACCCCACGGGCTTCAGACCGGATGCGGGTATAGCCTGACCCAACATGACTGTGCGACTTGACGCACAAGCTAATGCGCATCGATGCATTGAACCGGGGTATGAAGCTTTGAGCCCAGAAAGATCGCCTTACGATGATGGGTCATTTACATGGGATGCGCATCGAAGTTTGCTTGCAGCTTGGCGCTGGCCTGTGCTGCGCACATTGGCTTGTTACATCGACAGATCGAGCAATTCCGGTCCTCACCATATGTCATAGCGCTACTACTCCTAGGGCCCTCGAGGTGCAGAGCAGGTTTGTTTCACTCCCTGGCATACTCAAGCTTCGAGCGCGCTCGGATAAGTCACTCATAGTGAACACGGAGCATTACTTTGAGATACGCTACGTAGCATCATCTTCGTATCGGCTCTACGTGGTACCATCTGGAAGCCGGCCCATCATCGGATCCAGTTCTTTTCGTTCACCGCGATCCATAATAGGCATAGGACCCACCGGAACCTTACCCCAGCTTTCCCCCCGTATATCCGTTTGCCGTGGGGCTGTGGGATAGATGCCAGCGGTAGCATACATATTCAGTGCAGGGCTATTAGATCGCCAATCGTACAATCCTCTGCCAACTCCCTGGACCATCCTCAGCGACCAAACTTGTAAGGTTGAACAGATTGTTAGCAAATGACGTGATCGGAGGTACTACCAGCGGTATTGGCTCGTCAATTAGCCAATCAGAGGGTCTTCAAGGAGGCTGGCTATCATCTGCAGGTACGTTTCAGCGCAAGCCATGTATGCTCGAAGCGATTAGTTGATCTGACAACAGACCCTTCCTAGGATCAAATGTGCCAATATATGCTACAAGCAGTACTACCAGACTTGAGAGTCCTTAGTAGGTTGTTTCGCTGGTCGACAGCGTGTTATTCCTCACAGAAAGCCCGTTCCTCGCAAGTGTAGCGCACTAACTCTTTTGACACCCCTGCGAGCCTGGCGCACTCGTCCTGGATTAGGGCAAGTCGATTGAAATTGTCAAATCCGTGCCTCACATCCCGGATCCGCGGTAACACTATGTCAGTTACAAACATCCATCGACTGTTTGCGAAAGATCAAGCCTAGCTGATAACGTGGCTTCTTTGTAACGGGAAAAGTCATCAATGTTTGTCCGATTGGGTATCTGCTAAAGCCTCACGACTACGAGATAGCCCCATCGAGGAAGGGGTGGGGGCCACATCACATACTTCATGGGTCTTCATTCGGCTCTGGCGCTTGTCATGAAGAAGTATTCACAGGACGCAGGCCGTACAATGTTTCACCTGTCTCTCTCCGCGGGGCGTGGCCAGTGCTCTCTTGGAAGCGCAGGCCCAGGTTCTTGTACAGTCACCGTACCGCGTCCATGCATGCAGGTGTCCGGAGGCACTAACGAGATAGCTCTCATGGGGGACAGAGGTCACAAACAAATTCCTGATCAACACTCACACTCGAAGCCAATCTTTGGAGCCACGTTCGCCCTGCATCATCCTCTTATCCAGTATAACAGTCTTTGCCGACGCAAGGAACTCGTTTGGGTTATAAACATAATCCTGCCAGCCGATCATCGTATGACCTGCTCACCGGTTCATTACACTTTCTCCCTGGAGGAGCGCCCACGGTCCAGTCATCAACTACTGCCCTTTCTTGACTCGGGCGTTGCATCCCGCGAACGCTATCCGAATCATACCTGTGGGTAATTCGCCAACAGTCGATCTTGTCGGTATCCTTGTGAGATGTAAGTCAACTTCAGGTCATGGAGACTGAAATAGCTGACGTTCAGTTGATTCGCCAGTATGTCAGTCATGGAGTACGGCAGTCCGCGACGCTGTTTGCCTCACAACCTGTCTTATCCGAACTACATGTACAGCGATCGCAATGCTCCGCTGTCCTTAGCCCATAATACGCGAGAAAATCCACGAGGTTATCCCATGGGCGGCCCAGTGGGCGGTATGCATAACCGAGCCAGCATGGAAGAACCCATGATGGGAAATGGGCCAGCGAGACGTCGCATTGCAGTAGCGGTATGTCAATATGTGTTTCAATAATTTCGGAAGCATTCACAAAAACCACAATTCCTCGCTACCTTCTTAGCTACATTTTCCATAAATGCTGTCCCTACTTTTACTAATATTGTCTCCAGTGCGCGCGTTGCCGCAAGAGGAAGATTCGATGCAGCGGCGACCCTGGAAATGGTATTGGGTGCGTCAACTGTCGAACGGCCGGAGTAGAACCGGCAGGCTGTCAATTCCACAGAGTACGTTAGTTGCTTGCCTTTTGTACATTCACTCATTCAGTCAGGTGGGATCCGATTCCGTCCACAAAGTGCTAGACGACAGAAGCATGGCTTACAGCCTCAGTGGTATGGCTACCGCGCATAACAACATGATGTCCATGTACTCTACCGGAGGCAATAACGGTCTTTATGCGCGCCCCATGCCAAATCAGCAGTATTCGCAACTCGATTCGAAGCCGGCCTATTCTTCAGCATGGACTCTACCCTATTCAGAAGACACATCGCCGGTTGACGCCTACCCTCTCGACCAGCCACCCGCATATCTACCACAGTCTACAGCAATCGCAAACACAAACATGTACACGCCTGCTTATCGCTGGACTCAGCCAACTGCGAAGTCTTTGCAGCAAGGAAGCACATACTTTGATCAGGACTTGCAATTCGCTCATACAAACGGTCGACTAGCCACACCTTCGGACGTATCCCCTCTCAATACCGGAATGTCTTCTCTGCAATTGACTATCCCTGAGAGGCCCCATCCACGACAACCTCTCCCTCGGGATTCCAGTGTGCCTAGGAGACAACTGCCAATGCCACAACCGAGCCCAGCTCAGAGCAGCCATGTTGTAGACCAGATGCAAGATGCTCGTCTCCGCTCGGCCCAGGCTATTGGCACTTCGGGTATGGACGGCAGAGGCTCTTTCGCGAAATCGTTACTACCGTGGACTACCGACAGCGAGAGTCACGCCAACGCATCCGGGGCGTCATCTGCAGATGCCTTTACCCAACTAATATCCCCGGTCATGCCAGACAACGCGGAGAGCAGGATGGGCTACATGCCAAATACAACGTCGACCGCGGATGATGCGACTGCAACCACCGCTGCATCTCAGCTGGAGCTGAACTTCAGTACATCTGGTCTTCTCGAAGGCATGAGTGCGCCAGCTCCAGCGACAAATTACTCCTATGTCCGTGAGACACGCCCAATGACACGCCCAGCCTCACAGACGAATCTATACAGCTACAGCCCGGACTCGTCGTCAAAGCGGAACTCGCTAAGTGGCGAGTCATCTAGCGATTGCACACTCGTCAGTGGTCATCGCTACACACCTCTCAGCCACAGCCAAACACGGAGCTCCCCAGGAAATCGCAGCTTGCATCGCGAGTCGTGCCAGAATCGGAACATGCAGCCTGTGCAGCTCCACCGCACCTCGATGGGAAACCTCAACAGCACTTACTGAGATACCGCTTTCAGCATCACGGCGGATCGGCTTGTCTGCATCATTCTTCTGATCTCATCACTATTGCGTAGTCCACTCCTTCATCGCCGTGGGGTACTTAATGGCCTGAATTTATGCCAATGTACAACATCTCACATCGCTGCATCCTTGGACGGGAAGCTTCAGTCAGCACGCTGTTCCCTTTCTGCATCTTAGTCCCGGCAATCGACCCGTCGAGCACTCCGTCATTATCATGAGCATGGCTCTCGGCCCGGTTCACGTTACGCTTTCGCATTGTCCTCAGCAACCGGTGAGCCATTTCCGGTTGGCGTTCATCAAACCATGTTTCTTTTCTGCTTCAGTGTTGTAACGCTATGTACTCGTCTCGATGTTCTACACTGCATTGCTTTCGCATCATTGCTACGCTACGAAACGTTACGATTGTTTTCTGCTTGGGCGGCTAATGTTTATTCCTGTACATCAGTATCACTACCATGTCTTCTCATCAAGACAAAACGCCAGGGCCGCTCCTTAAACACACCCCGCATTCTTATCACGTTCACACTCGCTCAAATTGGGAAAAGCACATGTCGCAAGCTTAGTGTGTATAAGG